CCCCGCCTCCGGGGATTGGCTCCCCCCCACCCCCCCCCCCCCCCCCGACCCCCTCTTTGGGAACCACTGAGCCACTGTGAGTTAAAACCCAAACTTATTAACTAAGTTATTAACAACAATATACAGTGTAAAGGAATGAGTTTTAGAAAATGTTGTGAATCAACCCACTTGTTCAGGAGAACATTAACCGACTCCTTCGAGCGATTAGGTTGTAAACATTAGCAGAGAGACTTCCACACAGGAGATAAGGAGATTTACATCATCATCATCATCGTTTTGAATATAAGAGAAAGACTAGAGTTTTATTTTTAGGGAATATGTTTGTCTTTTAGAGAACTCCTGTGTGACACATTAAGAGATGACAACAGTGTTGAAACATGAAGGTATTTTCAGACGGATATTTTAGCTAATGCTACACGACATGTCTTAAATAATAATAACAGACCTTATAGGTTGTGAGTAGACAGTGGCACAGATCTGTCTCCTGAGGTCCATTATGAGCCTATTATGGCTTATCTGTTGTAAAAGGGTTCTGCGGTCTTAATGTGTCCATATCAGAGAGAATGCTCTCAGCGCTGGAGTCGGATAATCTGAGTGTATCAGACTCAGTCGAGTCCGCTGGGACGTAAACATCCTGTAAAACTGCTAACACCTGCAGCTGATGATCAGAAACAAACCGAACGACGATACGGCTGATGTGATCTCAGCTGATCACCTGATAAAACACAGCCTTGGACTTCTGACATTAAACTTTGACTCATCTCAACAACATACAGTAGGAAACTACAGCGGTCCGTCGTCTATTGCGGGCAAAAAAAGAAAATGCTGAATTTATCACAAAAATAATGAAAATATTGGAAATTAATTTCTTTTTTATATGCTGCAAAAACCTGCTACAGAGCGAGAAATCTGGCAACACAAGAATACATTTAAAACCCATGATGCACCGAGGGCGAGACAGCCCAACCGTGATACAGCGGGGGACGACTGTACTTAGTCTTTGTTGTTTTTTTTTTCCTGTTTTGACTGCAGC